AATTGTAGATAAAAAAGAAATTTTAAAAAAACTGAATTTTTCTCTATATTGATCATTGAAGGTTCACTTACATTCTTTACTTCAAACAAAACGGTTAAAATTAGATGTAGTTTTCGTAGTTAATACGGGTTAATAAATATGACAATAAGAGTATTCACACACTTTTAGAACATGAGTAATAAAAAAATATTGCATTTATTGACGAATCGTACTTTCTAAAATTGTCAAAGATCTGAAACATTTAAATTATCGCTATGTATATTGATGGATCACTAAACCACTAATATATATTAATTGAATACTAAACCACTAATAAAATCTATTTTGCACGAACATCTTTACAAATTATATCGATAACTTTATCGATTAAAATAATGACATCCTTTGTTCCTCGAGCGTGAATTCTACTAATGTTTCCGGCCATGAGTACGTTTCGCTCGACTGGCCGTGAAGATCGGAGAAGAAACCAGGAGACCGAGAAAGCGTACTGAGTATCAACTTCAAGGGCAAATAATTTCCCTAGAAAATCAACGATGCATTCTACTAGAAAAGCCGCTTTTTACTCCGATCTTATAGTTGCTCCGTATTTGTCGAGTCAGTTCTGTTACTTTATGACGATTCGAGAGGCTTAACTTAAGCTGAAATCGATAAAAAATTATACAATTTCAGATTTGACATTATTCGAGAAAAAGATCTCAAAAAATTTATTATGAAAAGATTGCCTATATGAGTTTGGAAAGTATGACGAATTGCTTTCAGTTTCGATCTATTTAATCTGTGAACTTATAATTACGTGCATAATTATTATTAGAGGTCCCAGCGGCATTATATCCGATTGGTCTCGGCAAAGGAAATAAAAATGCTCCTTTGTCTCCCTTTTTCGGACAGTCAGCCAGCCGATCGGTCGGTCGCCGAAAGATCGAGCGGCCAGATAAGCGAATCGCCTGCTTCCCGATCCGCAACGGATGATCGGCCGGCGAGAAGTGCGTGAAAGGTAACGTGGGCGGGTGGAACTTATTGCGGTGGGTAGACCACAATCGAGAGAGAACGTGTGACAGAGATGAAGAGCGTGCCGGTCTCTCTGATCGTGCGCGTGACAAAGAGGCCGAAGAACCGCAATGGCGCGAGTGAGAGAGAGAGCGAGAGAGCGCGGGAGACAAACGATGAAGCGAAGCGTGAAGATGTTACGGGTGAAAGAGTGAGCGAGAACGAATGGAAGAGTAGTAGTCCTCTGTTGTCGGACGTGTGACGAACGACACTCGAATGTGGTTAGGCTAAGTGTGCGTGCACCTGAGAGGGATAGAATGTCACGCGGGACGTTTTATATGTGGTGTATATTATACGTGTGAATGTGTGAAGATGATGCGTGCGCGATTGTATGTGAAGTTCGGCGATGCTTGGGGAGAAAAGGACGATGAGAAAGCACACGTGTTGAGGAAGGGAGAGGAAAGAACGGGATGGTAGAACGAGCGTATAGGAAACGTAGAACGCGTTAGGCTGTAAAATGTGATGAAGAACGGGGAGAAAGAGAGAAAAAGCGGGAGAGGAAAAACGAGTACTCCCGAAAGAGAAATGGCATCGTCCTGATGGAGTGTCGATAGAATGAGAGATAGAGAGTTGCCCTCGCGAGCGCTTATTGTAATGTTGCGTGAAAATGCGCGCGTGTTGCGTGACTGCGGGTCGAAGGAGGGTTGAAATTGAATGGGTAGAACCACTTCATCGAATTCAGGCAGGGTGGAGAACTTTGCAGAGTACAGTTTCTCGATTTTCCTCGACCCGGGATCACAATTGACGCGATCGAAATGCATACATATATCTTCTATAGTTGAACTTTGATCTTGTGAAGCAAACTTGCTCTCTTCGAGCAAATTTACACTTGAACTAAAATCGATCGTCTAGAACTATGATAACGCCTTTGTATAAACTTTTCGCAGAAGAGGGACTTATAAAAGAATCGAGAGATAGAATCTGATCTTTTTAAAATGCATTATAATGAAATGCTTGGAAGATTTATGAAAGTAATAATGAAGCAACTAATCTTATTTTCAAAACATTGTAGGGAAGAGAATATTTTTTTGATTTGCACAGTTTTACATTATAATTTTTTAATCTTGTTATCTTCATTGATTGAATAGATTATACTAACGGATAGCATCTTGCTGTTTGCAGTTATCTAATGAGAGACGATATTCGTATTTAGAAGAGCACGATGAGAGGTGGTGCTGGTGATGGTGATGGTCCAAACACGGTTACTGTTCCCGCTTCGGCATCCGTTAACGTAAGTATAATACATGTATCTACCCTTAATGTACATAGTGACTTGCGCGATTGAATAAGTATAACATGTGTTATAAAAAATTAATTAAAAAACCTGCCCTGTTTTATGGATATTTGAATTTTTAAATAATATACAAATTGTCGAGATTTGATAAAAAATGTTAAAACATTTGATTCAGTCTGTATAACTGTGAATTTATTCTTGGGAGAATCGATCGACCACGCGAGGTGTCGTGGTATCGCGGCGGTGCGGTACTTTCGCAACCCAATTATCGCTGCCGGCTTTATCACCGGTATATGGGCAACCGTCAGTTGAGTAATGAGCATGGAGAACCGGTGCAACAAGTATCCCAAGAGTCCGGTAGTCGTACACAGGTCACCATCGATCGTATTCGATTAAGCGTCTGGCTCGATCAATAGTGCACTTCTAAAGCTGTAATTTCCATCTCCTTTTTTTGCTTCACTGGTTCTTGTTCTTTATACACACCGAAACAGATCATTTCGTATCTCGGTCATCCATTAACAAAATTGCTTTTCCAAGTCAATATACCTATATATATATCTGCGCACAAATGCGTTTATTCTAATACTATTGATAAAATCCTGTTAAATAATAAAAAATAACTTCCTAATTGAAACAGAAGTAGTCATTTTTTTAAATTTTTGGACGCTGTATACGAATCCGATCTTCACAATTTTAACGTGAAAAAGCAAATGGACATTGAATTTGTATTCAACATCCAAAAAATTATGGAAAATGATTAATCTTGTTATAGTGTTTTTTTTTTCCCAGAACAGTATAATTTATAAATATATTTTTTGTACGTTAACCTGTTACATACATGAAAACAAATCTATTTAATGGTTGAACTGATTTCAAAAGTTGCACGCCACGTGACATCTCAGGGGTGGGATTAATGAAGGTCTAACACTGGGGTAAAATGAAATAGAAGACAATTATTTCGGAAGGGAAACGATGTTGGGATAATGCACGTATTCATTACCATAACATTTCAGTTACTTTGTCCCATCATACTGTTGCGGGATTCAACTGTGGAATATAAAGTATAAATTAATTCAAATCTCAAGATTAGTGAACAATTCTGCAAAACCAATATTATTTTATATTGTATATATGGTAAAATAGAAAGTAAGAGAGAAAAGGGATCGGGAAAAATAGGGGAAAAATTTTGTTACACATACATATTATACAAAATGTATTACGATTTTATGCGATGTATAGAATAAAATACACAGAACACGCACGCAGAATGACCGAAACATATTTTTACTTTCATATAAAATATATTCCGATAGAAAATAAAGCGATGTTAAATTCATAATACCAATCGAGATACGAGACGTAATGCAACGATGATAATAGTAATCCGCTGCGACGCTATCATTTGTACGCGCTATCGATAAAGGCCATTAAGGCGCGCAACGTGAAGAATCGAAGTAGTCAGACGTCGCTAAAGTAACCTTCACGGAGTGTATCCGCTAAAATATTCAGCGGGGAGCTGGCTACCCGGGAGATTATATCGGTGCCTCTTCGCAGGGAACAGTGCGAACCATAAATCATGTATGCCAGTTGCTTTCCACCATGTAAATTTATCGATTCCACGCGAGCCCTTTCAATTTCAAGAGACGCTGCCGACGTTACGACTAAGACGTCACGAACACGTCTACGACGAGTCTTTTACCTTATCGTATACATGGAAGACGGTCAAGTACTTGAATGAATTAAAAGTCCTCGTGACAATTTTCGTCTGTGATTGACTCCAGGGTGCTGTACGCGAATAAGTGAGCGCATTCGCGACTCCATAAAGGTTCAGCTGGCACCTATCTTCATGTCACTTTATGATGGCGCGCAACCATGTAGTGATCTAGCTACTACATCGGAGCCGTCGGGGACTAACTACTAATTGGCTTTAAGTACTACACAAGGCCGTGGCGTTACGGCACGGACTTTGGAGATGGAGATGTCGGTCGATCGAAGGACAGTTATTTCAGCATTCGCTGCGCGGCAATGGCATTTACGGAGAGCATCCGCCGAACTGGTTTCTCCGGTAGGCTTCGATAATGCGACAAGCGGCACTCGTTTCGCGGAAAGTTACTGTAGGTAGAAAGACCGCGAACGCGATTTCTTCGCGACCGATACGACACTCGAAAACGATCAAAGGGATTGTGTATATATATATAATTACAGAGGAGAATATATATATACATTGTATAGCGTATATTGTGGATTTTCTCGATCATTCGTTTAAACTTTTGTGAGAATTGTGTACTACTGAGATTTGAGTAGCTATAAATACTATTCTTATTATATCTTAAGATATAATAAGATATTTTATTATATAATAATATGTATATTAATATTAAAGTGGGTAATTTTTAATAAACTATGTTTATATGTTGATCAGTGATATTGAACACATTCAGAAATGTTCAAAGACGCTTTTACGTTCATTATGATTTGCAGTTTTTGACAACCGAGGATAGCATGAGCGACGACGTATTCGAAATGGACGACGATCGCTCTTCTACTATCACGAATGTCGTTTCCGGAGGTCTCACGCCCGCAAGCATAGAGCGACCCTTCGAGAAGACACCCTCACCTACCGGATACCGCGATTATAAGCCACCTGCCGAGGTACTGAGTAACAACTACAGCACGACTTTTAAGACAACGAGTGACTTCGATAGCGTAAGAAGCTCTTTGAAGAAGGACCAAGAGAGAGATGATAATTTCGCGCACAAGGTACGTCACGTACTCAAGTACTCTCTAAAGCTTTTAATATGCTAATCTCATTCTGAAGAGTGAAATCTCATTGTATTAAAGATTAAAAATTGAGCCACTCTTTATCAAAACGGCTTAATTTTGTACTCTTTATCGGGTGAAATTCCACTCCAAAGAATTTCGAGGGTATTATTGTTAACATCCTGAAAGAGAGGGATCCCTTCATTCTTTTATACATTAATTCAAAGGGAATTTCTTTTTATATATTAATATATCGAGGGGCACTTCGTTTTTTGTTTTTTTTTCTGAAGTTTCTTTCATGATAAATCATATCTCGAGCTGATACGCGCAATTCGGCAGCAAACCGACTCGTCGTTGATCGGTAGATCACCACGCTTCCGAGATGCAATGGGATTAACCTTGCCTTCCGTGCCAAGGACAAGCCGACCTCTCCCTCGGTAAACCCGTGGAATAATGATCGGGAATGCCAGAGAGGTCCGTGGTAGCTGTGGTACGGCCCCCGAGACGATTCCCCCGTCCTTCATTTTGCATCTTCGTTCTCTTCTTTGCTCCTGTCCGCTCCTCACGGCTTCTCTCTCCCGTCTTCTCCCCATCTTTTTCTTCGCTTCATCACGTCCTTCTCTGCGCCTCGTTCGCGAGCTTCCAGCTCGTAAGATTCCTCTGTCTTCGCCGCCTTCTTATCTGCTCGTTCGTCGTCTTCATTCGCATCCGGTGGAACGCGATTCGCGGATAACGCGCGTTAGATAACACCTGTAGCGTCTTAAGCTTTGTCTTATAAATTTGATCGTCCAAGAAACAACGATCTTTCTCAATTACGTACATTTCTGCACTCAATTTTACTCTTCTTTAAAGCTACGGTCTTTAGATATACTTAAAAAATTTCGCTTAATTTTTCGTATATGAACAATATATGCGAATGCAAGTGTGAAGTTAAACAAAGCACGATAACTACGGCGATAACAAGAGAAAGTATAGGCATTATCAATATATAATGCAGTAAAGAAAAGGGCGAACGTTAGACATATTTCTAAATATTATAACAGCAAATTCTTAATTATCTTGACAATATTGTAAGACCAAGATGGTTAAATATTTCAATAACAAAACTCTCAGCATAATTTGTAGCGTAATTGATAATTCTTATCGATAATGAATAATTACATGCGATATATCACACGATGCAGGACGAATATTTCACTGCACTGACAAGCTCCTAGATCTATGGGGTCTGAATTTTCGATCAGTTTCAGCTGAGATCGACCGGGAGCGATAACGTTTCACGCGACGGGCGCTAAATATAGGACGCGGATCGGGGCCTCCGTCACACTTTTCCGCGCGTGACATTTAATTTTATGTTGCGAGCCGTATACGCGACTCAACGCGCAATAAAGTAGAACCCAGAAGCCATCGAGCATTTTTTTCCCGGCCGTCCCGCTGCAATTAAGGAGAGGGTTCTCTCTCGTGACTGCTCAACGTGGAACGGAAGAGCGGCGGGAGGGGAAGCCAGAGAGGGGCGGCGGGCTTGAATAAGCTACTACACAGGGGGACCAAGTAAAACCGGTAGGGGGTCTACCGTCTCTCGAGCCGGTTCTTGCCTTGCACTTTCTTCGGCCGTCCGGGCACCTCGTCAGTACTCACTTCGTACCGCCTATAAAGGATAATTGAAGACCCCGCGCACAGCAACCAGCTTGATTTTTGCAGATTCTCCCTGAGAAGGGGAAGATAAATATCGTATTAAGGGAACTGTGCGTAGCCTTTCCCCTCTTTTCCCACCCACGTGCCTTTCATCTTGTTCTGCGTTCAACGGCCTCGATTCTACTCCGTCCGCACACGTTCTGATAAGTTCCGACAGAGACGTATTGTTTCGTAAAAAATTTTGCATGCATTATACATACATTTCAAACTTCGAACTATCGCTCTCGAATGATTGCTGCGGGGATCGAGATCGGTTTTCCGAGATTTGCTGGCAAGAGATGTGCGTATTTTTTTCTCTCTTTTTACGATACAGCACGCACACTCGGTTGAAACTCGGCTAGACAACGCACCGCACACTGACCTCAACGACGACGCGGTTGTGCATCTGGCGGGCTCGCGCAGTCGCATACCAATTGAGTTAGCGGCCGTGTGGTAATGCAGAAAGACGGCGGGAGGATGAAGCGGTGAGACCAACAGCATGTACACGTAGACAGCGAGGCATTCCGTTTGTGGGGTGAGCTATCTCGTCGGTCGATTTCCGGTTTTGGTCCACGATTCTTCGATGTCGCTAATGAAGAATACCTGCCGAAATCGTAATTTTTTAAATCGAGAAACTGGTCCGCGCAATTTTCTGTTTGAAAATAAAATCGCAAGAGTCTTGAATTTTATCAAACAAGAAGAAGAAGAATCCTATTTTTAGTCGAAGCGAATTTTACTTGCGAACTGCAAATGTGTTTTTCAATGCTATAAATGTATAAATATATTTTTTATTCTATACGTGCGTCGATTCGCAATTGTAAACTGAAGTTGGAAATAACATCACAAATTACATTGATTATCAATTTTAATAATGGTGTTAATAAGCATCTTAAAACTATTATTGCCAGAGATATTACCTCAATTGGATTATTAAAGTTTCGCTTAAAGTCAACGAAAACTTGAAATTAATTTTATTTTTGTAAGTGATGTAGACGGTCTTGAGCGAAACACTCAGAGAAGAATTTTTATCAAAAAACGCACATAAATATTTTTATTGTTGCTGTTAATACACTGTTGTGAGCGAGACGTACGATAAAAACCATGATGGAAAGAGGAGAATGAAACTGCTGCGACCACATCCACCGCGAGAAATTGCAACGTCCTTCGCGGTTTTACGGTTGCCGCAAGGAAGATGCGCGATCTTTCCGCGTATGGAACCGCATTTGCTCGTTAGATCTCGTGTCGGTCGTGACAATCGTACGCCATTGCGTCCCGGAAACGGCGCGACGGATTCCTCGATAAGAGGACTCACGCTTGTAGATACACAGCCGTGATTATAGTAATCCAGGGACGATAACCTCGATGATAAAACGAAATAATAAAATTCCTTGTGAATGTCACTTGCTTCACACTTGGAATCTTCGGAATGTTTATCAGAAAATTGTACGTTTTCCTAAGATATTGATCGATAATACTTTTTATCGAGGAATATGACTGTAACGGATGACTCCTTGTGGTTGACAAAGATACAGAAGGAAAACGTGAACATTAAAATAGAATTTCGTTTAAACAATAAATAAGTTGAGCAAACATGATTAGATTCGTTCTCAAGAATATTAAATCTCAACAAAGTTACCTTTAAAAAAAAAAAAAAAAGAAATAAAGGCGCCAAGAAAATGTATTCCTTTCGCAATTGGCGCAATTTAAAGATTTTATTTCATTTTTTGTATACTGTAATAATATATGTAACGATTTTTTGTGAGGCGAGCACTCACACTTTGGCGCCTTTTTCCTCTTTTTTTTAAAAAGGTAATTTTGTTGATATCACGCATTTTTTTTTTAATGTTAAATATCTCTTATAAATCTATATCTCTCATTATATATGTATATTACATACGTACATATATATTATATTATATGTATACATATATATTATTCTTATTATATTTTTTTTAAAGACGTATTTTTGAGATAATTTTATGATGAAAATTTTAATATAAAAATAAGGCTATAATAGTTTTCAAATTAATCGCAATTAAATGTCGCTAATCACACAATTGACACTTCGCGCGCTCTGACATGACGAATTGCGCTATAAGCAAAAAATGATAAACATATTCACGACATGTCTTTAATAATCGTAATTATAATATAATAATATATGTAATATTTGTTTACGACAGATGTTTTTCCTGTGATTTTGAATATAAGGAATATATCAAATTTCCATTTCTCTCTTTCTCGTCAATTCGTAGAAAATAAATATCTTTCCTGTTTATGATCTTGTCTTCAAAGAGAGGACAAATTAGCTCTTTAATAGTGCGCGAATGCTTAATGTAATTCCAAACTTTGTAAATCGTCTCCCTACCTCTCTGTCTCTTTCTCTTTCCTTTGATGGCGTCGAGTTTGTTTCATTTGCAAGGAACGCGCGTGGCGGTATTTTCGATCGCACTTGGACTTGAGTTCATTTTGTGCTTGGCTGATTCAATCCCGTTTGGTAATAATCTAACCACCCGCAGCTGTTGCATCGAAGAACAGCGGAGTCTCTATTAAACAAGCGCTCGACAACCGCGACGATGCGGCTCGAGTTATTTTTATCACGCATGGCGTTGTCTACTCGTGAGATTTCTCCACGACGACGAAGGAGGAAGAGGAACTTGCGGCGCTGGCACCTGGTACTGTTATATACGAGGCGCTACGTAATATTTGAAGGGGTAAAATAAAACGAGGAGTTGTGTCCTCTTTCATTACTGTAGGTATAGCGATTTGGCAAGAATTATGTCAGAAATATTGCTGAACGAAGACGTATAGTTGCGGTAATAATTTCTGAAGAGCAACAGAATTTTTCTTAAAACATTAATGATTAACGTATTTGAGAGAAAAGAGTAAAACTCGGCGAAATACCAAAATAATTTTTAACTCCGATGGACTCTTTATCTGCCAATTCTTCGTTCCATCTTGTCGTATTTTCTTTCTTTTTTTATTACGTTTTATTTGAAAGAGAATGCGATGGCCGAACAAAGAATCAGATTTAGATACAAAGAGTCTATTGGGGTTAAGAATTTTATGGCATCACACCAGAAGTAATTCTTATTTTTAAAAAAGTGTAAGAACTTAAGAGTCTTAAAATAAGACCGCGACTCGTACAAATTGCAAGATGAAAGTCACTCGTTGCACCGGAAGCTTTCGTTATTTGAGAAAAGATTTAAAGGTATAAGTACTAAAAGCTTCGTATTTCGAAATAAAGATTACAAATTGTAGAGGTGAAGTTATGCTATGTAATAATGAGAAACTCTACAACGAGAAACGTACAAAGATCGATGAAT